TTTGGAGTGGTGGAGTGACACACACTGAACCAAAATTTGTCAACCGTTTTTCTCTGAGGGTACACTACTGTGTCTTTGTGTGACCTCAGTCAGGTTCTGCAATCCATTTTGGTATTCCAGCCACTTTAAATGATGATGATACTAATTTAGGGTGTCATGTGATTGTGTAACCATATTGTTACACTTTTAGAAAAGATTTATTGGAGACCTTTAAAAAGTGATGCATTTTAGCTTTAGTTGGAGACAATTAGAGAATAAATTGTAGGAAGTCATAGTTCAAAATTCAGCAGTCATTGGCCAGAGACTGTATGACAGTGAACTAAGCTGAATTATTTCTGAATTGATTTTCTATTTCCTAAACTAGTAATTCTCAAATTTTTATCTCTTAAGTCTCCTGAATACTTCCAGAAAAGAGCTCAAGTTTCAGTGTAATAGACAGAAAATCTCATTGTTTTTTCAAAGTTGAAAATGCGTATGTTGGTATGCTATGGTGCACAATAAGATTAGAAACACAAATTATAGGCTTAATATATATGTTTGCATATATGTGCATATATACAAATATACATATATATATTTTTAATAATTTTATTGAGAAACAAATAGCAATGAGATAGTTTCAAACCAAACTGGTAGGACAGTTTCAATAATTAACACATTGCAAACATTCTTCTTAGTGGTTAATTGCTGTACAAGATGTGGACATGATATCCTAAAATTATTTTTCTTAATCTTTATAATATATTTTCCAACAGTGAAGGTTTCATAAGCATAATTTTTCAGTCTTCATACTCATTTACACACTTTACCCTTGTTTTCTCTCTTTTTTTTCCATAATTTTATTGAGAAACAAACAGCAATGAGACAGTTTCAAACCAAATTGGTAGGACAGTTTCAATAATTAACACATTGCATACATTCTTCCTAGTGGTTAATCGCTGTACAAGATGCGGACTTGATATCTTATTTACAAACACCATTAGAACAAATCCCTCTATTCATTAAGAGAATGTAACTATATATCTATCCTAACCACTTTGAATACACAGATACAAAATGAACATTCATCTTATCCCTTTTTTTGTTAAGTTCCATCATTTAAATATTATAGGTGTGTAAACTCAGCAAAATACACATATACATACATATTTACCATTAGAAATCATATTCTTCATGGTACTACAATATCTCATTTGTGTGCCATCCTTCTGCAAAGGCCACGCTGATCTTCATAGCACTATCTCTTGGACAAGGAAAATCATATTATTGTCACAGACATACATGTATGTATAGACCTGCCACTTTGGCTGACGAAACATTCAAACACAGCCAGAAAATTTGGGCTGGCTTAGTGTGCAGTCCTACAGAGAAGAGCCAAGGACACATGGTTAGAAAAGGGCATAGCAAGTGAGGTGAGCAACAAGTTTAACTTATAAGTTCATCTTGTATCACTCATACCAGGTCTGATCAACAATACGTTCCTTCTTGCAGTTGATTGTGGGAATTAAGTTAGAAATCCTAGAGCTCTTTCAGGAGTGATTCTTGTAATTTGTGTTCTGCATGTTGGGCTCACATGATCCCCACAGGTTCATGTGTTGGAAATTTGGCCTAGAGAGTGATGATGTTGGGGGTGGCAGAACCTTTACAATGTGAGGCTTACTTACTCCCACTGTCAGGTAATCAAGTCACGGAGCACTGAGTTCTCTGGAAGTGATTAAAGAGAATTCTCATGGAATGTGTTGTGATAAATCGGCTGTCCCATGTGCTTGGCCCCTTTCTGCAACGAGTGGTTCTTTTTCTTTTTCCATTTCCTCCCTCTAGCCCAGATCCAGCCCAACCCAGATCCATCTCCTCCCTCTATTGTGATCCTAACAAAGGGTGCTCACTACAGTCACACAGATGAGGCATGTGATGCTGAACTTGCCGTGAGCTAAATACACTTAGTTTTTACAAGTATTCAGCTACAGGTATTTTGTTATAGCAAGAGAAAATGGATTAATACCCAAGTCCAGATGTTCTAAGGAAGGTAACTAAAGTCCTTGACCTTCATGCAAAATTCTAGTTTGTAAAGTTGGGTGATCAAGGCTTTGCAATGGTCCGCCTTCCATCTGGTCAAGAAAGGCAGCCTTCTTTGTCCAGTATCTCCCTCTGGCATTTTAGACTCCTCAACTGTCTCTGTGGACACAGAAAAAAAAGAAGTAACTGTGATCAAAGCACAAAAAGCCTTCAGAGATTTTAGTCCTTTCTTCTGTATGTGTTCTTGGTAGCATACAGCATCCCAGATAGCAAGCAAAGTATTTTGATCTACAGGGAGTCTATGGAGTCTCCATGGAGGTTCACGATTTCAGGCCTTTGGAGTAGCTGTACCACGAGATTAACAGCAACATTTGTACAAGCTCCATTACGCCTCTCACCTGTGCTGTGGTGAGAAAAGGCACTACTCTTTTTTTTCTTGTGGTGCACGCTAAGCCAGCCCTTTGCGACCACCATGTCACGCCATCAGCTCAAGAATACAGTGCTTTTGAAGGTCCTTAGAGCACAACAAAGTTCACACCAGCAAGAAATTCTGGGCAGTGAAATTATCTCCCCACACATGGAATAATACACAATTATTATGCATTATTTGCAGTACTCGCCTTTAAAAGTCTATTCAAGGAGCAAAACCTAATTCATATTAACCTTTTAACTGAAAGTTGTAAGCATACATTGGCTAAAAGCCTAAGGATAATACTCCATTATAATTGCTTTCAGGTTAAATATAAATGTTGTCATGTGCTATTGCAGTTATAGCTTCATCTTTTTATTTTATTAAATATTTACAATTTTTTACCAACACTTCATAAAGTCTAAAATGATATTGTAGCTCATAGATGGTTCATTTTAATGGAACACACTTTTTTCTCACTCAGGTGCAGCAGAATATTTTGCCTGTGATATATGATTAATTGGGTTACTTATTTTGATCCTTGTTTTTTTATTTAACTGTTCTATAAAATTTAATCTGTGACATAAATGAGCATATATTTGCCTTGCACAGGCATAAACATTAACACACAAGAGTGTTTTCCTTGGCTTGTTGTTTGTTTATTCGACCAACTAGGCAACATGAATACCATATACATGTCAGAGCTCTTACTTGTGCCTTGGGGGAAAAATATTAAGCAAAACACCATAATTACTGCAGTGAATTTAAAGTCTAGGGTGAGTCACTGATGATTACAAGATAGTAAGTGATACAGTGATGACGTGCAGAACAAACTTAGCTTCAGCAGGCTGTGGCACCTGTGTCAGAATGGTCTCTCCAACTTGCTGGGAGAAAATATGGGGAGAGATTCTGCAAGTTCAGGTTTGGACAAGACTTTCTGAAACATACTTGTCTCCTCTGCAACCTGAATCTCTAAGGGTAAAATGCTTACATGAAAGGCCCTTCAGGGGAGATGTAAGTAAGTGAATTTTGTTACAACCCCACAATGAAAAGTTCCTCAGCAATAAGAGAAACAATACTTTTACATGCAATAGCCTATATGGATGTCATGTATGGTATGCCAAATGAAGGAAGCCGGATGGAAAAACATGATTCCATTTGTGTGACATTGTGAAGCAACAAATCATTGGCTTCCAGAAATGGGGGGCAGCAGAGGTAGACTTCAAAAGTCATGGGGGATTTTGTGGGAGAAAGAAACGTTCCTTATCCTGGAAGTGGTCAGGACTTTTTTGGAATTTGTCACAAAGGGGAAAGTAATTTCTGAGAATAAATTTTACTTTCATTTAAAAATAAAAGAACAGTGGTTCTTAGCTACACACATGGAAGGGAGCACACCCACACACCCACTGTAATAGTTGATACGTCCTGTCAGCTTGAGAAGTTTTACTAAGCAACACAGCAGGGGACCAGGGTCCTCACTTTGTAGACAGCCTCATTCTGGGCAAGAGGAGGGAAGGGAGATGGAGAGTGAGCTGCACCTCCTCTGGCTGGGTGGCCTGCATATGATATAAGGGAGAGAAAGAGGCATGATTTCCTCACCTTTTGCTCTGGCTTTGTTCTGCTGCCTTCAATTGTTCCCCTGTGCCATGCCACCCTGCCTTGGAACCAGCTGATTACAGACTGAAACCTGCACAAACTGTGAGCCAAATAACCTTTTCCTTTCATAACATTGGGCATCAGGTATTTTAGTCTCTGCAATGAAAGAAAGGTAACTAGGATACCCATGCAGCACACCACCACTGTGGCTCATTCTTTCTCCTTGGGACTTCTTGAGAGGGTTCCTGGCAATGTTTCTCCACTTGATTTTAGGCAGGATAATTTTTCATTGCTGGGGTTTGTCCTGTGCTTTGGAGGATGTTCTGCAAATCTGGTGCTCACCTAGAGCAGCCCCATGCAGATTCCGAAGTCCCTGAAGAAATGTATCTCAGTTTTGACTAATAGGCCACATGTTATGGTGAGTCCTCACCACGGAAGAGAAAAGAACCAGTGTGTCTGCCTCTTTATTTCACTGTTTTGAGGGTGATGGACTCAGTACTGAAGAGAAATGAATGCTCATCTGCATTTGCCATGAGTAATGGAGTGAACTTTGCTCCTGACCGCTGAGAAGTGTGAAAGTTAAGTCACTTAACTTTCAGAGACAACTTAAGTCACTTCCGCGTCAGCAAGCCATCTCTCACTACATGTGCCACGCTTCTGCGGAGGTAGATTTTACTGATAAAATTGCTGGCACATCTTATCAGTCTGACTCCTGTACCTGTCTTCTCTGATCTTGAGAAGGAAGGAGAACAATGCCACCTACATTTCCACTACTCAAATTTCTGGAAAATCAATCTCTAGAGGTATCACATGGATTGCTGTGTGTCTTCCCACCTTCCTCCCGTGTCATAACGAACGCCCTGAATGGAGTGGCTCACCTTGGAAATCAGAATACAGCAACACTGTAGTACCGTGCACTTTCTGAGATTAGTTCAGTGGGTGTGTACTAAAGGCAGCCCATTTGCTTCTTACAACACACCAGTGTTTCCACGTTCTGCCTCTGCTTTTGAGTGCAGCAGGTCAAGGTCACATAGCAGCAGTCTCTGCTCCTGCGACCCCATGTCAGGCTCTCTAATTGTGTCTCCGCCAGAGCCAGGCTCGCTCCTGCACTGCAATTTGTACTCTGCACACAGCTTAAATGAAGCCTTCAGTGTTAGGTGGAGACAAGCTTTTGCTTTGAAGCATGTGAACACTTTTATTTTTTAAGGAAGAAAGTTTTATTTTGTGGGATAATGGAAGTGTCATAACATGGAGCATTATCAGATCTTTTTGTCAGTGACTTCAAAAGCTAGGCACACTGCTGCACACATCCGAAGGTTAGAAATTCTTGTTTTAAAATAGCACTGATGGCATCATGACATGACACGGGAGCACTACCCTCTGGAAAGAAATTAAGTAGGCAATTGATTCCTCCCATGTGACAGAGACCTTCCAGCACTCTCTTGTTGGCCTGCATGTTCTTTCTCCGATATGAGCCCATAGATTATTTATAAATTAGTTGAAATCTAAAAAATGAAAAAAGAAAATGCTGTGTGGCTAAAATATTCATAGGTATTGTTAAGTCTGCACTTTGTTCTAAGAGGCTGGCTATATTTTAATCTGGAGCTTCACTTTTCATTGCTTTTAGATGTGTGGCTTTTCCAAGGAGCTTCAGTGGCTCAGATGAAGCAGCACTGAATGGGTTTCAGGCACCATGACAGATTTGATACGTGGGATGGGAAACACTCAGAGACTCCCCAGAAAGTGCAGAATAAACAGTTCCCTGCTTTGTAACTCCTGGTTACCGAAACAGAACTTCCCAATTTCTTACTCTCTTAGAATTATGTATTCATCAAATGTGATTATATGTTGTAGTACATTATCTGATCAGGGATGCTATGATTTTTCACTTGGGAGGAGAATTTAATTTAATGGTTACTTATTGTGCATCTATGATGCACTAAAAATAATAATAACAATAATAGAACATATATAGTGTAACTCTGTCCTAGGTATTCTTGTAAGTCTTTATATTGAATCATTTTAATTTGCTTCAAGGAACACCATGCCATAATTATTATCATAATATATCTATTGTATATTTGGGGAAACTGAGGCTCCGAGGGGTGATACCATCTGTGTGAGATCACTTAGTGAGTGGGGTACCTGAGTTTCAGCTCTCACTTTTGACCTACTCCTGCTAATGGGATTAATAATAGAAGAGATAAAAAGAGTTTAAGTTAAAAAAAAAGAGTTCAAGTTCAAAGGCAACTTTGTGTTTGCATTAAAAAAATGGGTTAAGTTTGTACATAATGACAAGAGTTAAGAAATGATTGCTTTTTAAGTGTTATTATTTTATTCACATTTATAATCTTTCCAAGTTATTATTTCTTCCATAACCTCTTATGATAAATGATAGTTTTGCATATATGTAGGTAGAAGCAAATTTTACAGAAATAGAATATGTAGGCTCATTACAGGGCAGTATAACATTTCTGCATTTTAATTTTTAAGTGATTAAAAATCTATTAACAAGGGTCTCCTTTTTCTTGGGAAAGAAGCTTTAAAAATAATTTCTTTTAAAATAGATCAAAAAGTGCAAACAAAATTTGATACTTGTAAAATGCATTTGGAATATATGTTTGAATTTCATGATTAAGATTTGTAAAGAGACCATCATGTGCATTGCATTCTTTTAACTTATGTCTTAGAGTCACAGAGATGTATTTAAACTTCTTAACATAGCTTTTGTCACTATAAAACTGGTCAGGTCAAAACCAAAACCACATATATTATTCACTGTAATAGGTGCCAGTACTCAGAGAGAACTCATTTACAGATCTTGTGTTAGTATATTAGGTTTTTGAAAAATATGGTAATAATGTACCAGTAGAATGGATTTAGGTACATAGATTTATCAGACTTTGTGAAAAGATATTTACATGAATGCTATCTTCTAGAGATATGGAAACAATGAAGTCATGATTCATTTAGCTCATTCATTCTAAACTGAGAAATTGCTTAGAAATTAAAGGAAGGAAAGTAATCTTATTCTGTAAATAAAAAGGAAAGACCATGAAAAACATTAACTGCTTCAATATTGTACATTTTGTTATAAAATACGACTTTTAATGTTTGACACCTTCCTCAAAACTATTGGTTTTGGGCTGGTGAGATGGCTCAGTGGTCTAAAGCACCTACTTAGAACAAGCTTAGCAAAGCACATGGACCGTGGTTCAAGCCCCCAGCACCACATGCCAGCCAACCCTGCCCCCTGGTGGGCTGAGCTGCCCCCCCCCCACATAAATTTAAAAGAAAAAAAACTGTTGGTTTTTTGGTGACACAGGGATAGGGGGAGAAGAGGAAAGGCTATCCTTACTTCCAGCCCTGATTTTAAAACCAGGCTTAGAATGGAGAAGTCCCATTTTCTAGTGACTTTACAAATGTTGAACTTCATTGATCTTTGGTGATTAAATTAACCATTCCTTACCTGGTTAAATGCAACAGCTAGCTGAAAAAAATCAAAAGATTACGGAAGAGTAAACTTGGATCCCTTTGAAAAACTTAAACAATATTTAAATTATTTCTAATGTAGAATAAATCATATCAGTGGTGGCAAGTCAGTTAACTAGAGCTTGGGGACCAGAGTTGAGGCTTCTGCTCTTCCACTAATCAGCTGAGTGGCTTTACGCACACTCCCTCGATTCTTCTTTCCAACTTTGTCCCCTCATTCATCAGAGAAGAGAGTGAAATAAGGCGATAATGAGCCATGTCTTCTTGGCCCCTTCCTCATTCATTACTCTGATTTTACAGAGATGCTTTTTCTCCCTAGGAGAGGCTAAAAATGAGTACATTCTGAAGGACCCCCGCAGTTAGCTGAATGGCTACCAGATCGCTTCTAGTGCGACCAGCTCACCGACCACCTACTACTTTCTTTCCAGTCCTGCGCTTCTGTGAGAGGCTGGGAGAAGTCACCTGCTCACCTTTAAAATGTCACATGCACAGGTGAAAGGCAAGATGGTCTCTCAGGCCACATGTTGTCACTGTATACGTCAGTGTTAAGATGGTTTCAGAGAAAGGAGATCAATTCTCTCCAGAGCATTGCCTTTTAAAAATTCTGACAAGACTATAATGAATTAGGTTAAGTTGGAATTAATCATAACATTTTTCATGTAATAGATTTATTTCATTAATTTTAAATGACACAAATAGTGATTTATCTAAGAACAAAGAAACTGTTCAATAAACTTATGCATTTGCTTACTATAGTTATAATTAAAAATTCTTGTATCTTATTTTTTTTTCTTTTTTTATTTATGAGAGAGAGAGAGAGAGAGAGAGAGAGAGAGAGAGAGAGAGAGAGAGAGAGAGAGTGGTGTGTGTGTGTGTGGCCAGCTCAGCCCACCAGGGGGCGGGGCTGGCTGGCATGTGGTGCTGGGGGATTGAACCGCGGTCCCTGATGCCTTGCCAAGCTTGTTCTAAGTAGGTGCTTTAGACCACTGAGCCATCTCTCCAGCCCTCTTATTTTTTTTAATGATTTGTGGTGCTAATTATGTAGTTCATGACACAGACTGAGTTGCCCTGAATTATATCCTGATGTGATGATTTGAGTAAAAAAAATCATTAGGAAATTAATCCAGGACAAACTTACAGATGAGTAATGTCCTCAGAGAGATTCAGGAGAGGCAGGCAGGACAAGAAAGACATTCTGGCAGGCTCATCATATGCGGCTCAGATGAGCAGAGCGCGTCTGGGGCGGGGTGTGTCACAGCTCAGATTTGTCTCCACCAAAGGTGAGGAAGCCGAGGCACGTCTATACTGACACAGTCATCCACTGCTTGGCCACCATGGGGCAGCGATGAGGGCAGGCCCATTCTCAGGCACTTTGCTCTTTTCCTGTGTATAGATAGATGGGACGAACCAGCCACAAAGAGAGCAGGCACAGGCTTAGGGAATAAAAGCAAAAGAAATGAACCAAAAGATGCAGGTGTTACAGGGGGCTGCTCACAGCTGCTGCAGGCCATTTGTAGTTGTATCCCTGGAGCAGACCTAGGGCTGGTGGAAAATTCTTTAATGAAAAAGCTTCTTAGGAACAACAGGGAGCAGACCCTCCCAATGTGTTCGGTGGAGAAGCTACTGCACGAGGGAGGGCCCTAAGAACGCAGAGGGCACAGGACACAGGGTAACGTCCTTAGTAAAGGACGGGAGTAAAGACGTGTTTTCTGAGGTGAAGGCAAGGAAGCCGGGGCCCCCACCACCAGTGCGCTGTGGTGGTGGGCTGCTTTCCCTGCCCTAGCAGGGAAGGATTCAGGCGAGAAGCCAGGCCTCGCAAGGAGGAACGCAGGCCTTCCTTAGCAGGGACGAAGGGCTCTCTACAGAATGAATACTCAGGCCATTTTTTCCAACTTCCTTCTCAACCGGTCAGTCAAACAAGGCGCCGGAGGACCCGGGGGCCCTTGCCTTGGTTCCCATTAGAAACTGCAGAGCACAAAGCAAGGTCAAAGAAAGGGCAGAGGGGCACAGGGGCAAGGGGCAGCTGTGCGTAGGGTGAAAGGGGAATTGTTAACTTAATTTAAGGCAAGTTAAATGGTCTAAGATCACAATATAGGCATTTCAATCATTTATCTCTGAGGAAAATACAGTAATGTAAAAAATTTATTGAGGAACGCCAATAATAAAAGTATCTATTTGTCAAACTTTTCTTCTGTTTACCAGACTGTGCTATTTACCTTCTTAAAGTTGCTAAGGAAGAAATAATCTAATCCTTAGTAATTATTTCTCATGATTCATAAATGAGGCTCAGGATTTAGCTTAACACGAATATTGCACAAAAAATTAAATTAAAAAATGCTATCCAAATTACCTTGTCTTTCAGAGAATAATTGTTGTCACATTGTTGTGTATCCATATTATTAACTTCACATACACACATACACATGCACACACACTTGCAAAAATGAGTAATTTATAAAGGATTTGCACTTTCTTTTTAATAATTCACTGAAATTTTTCCACATTTAGTTGGGTAGATTTTTATACTTTTATCATTGTAAAAATTTTAAATTATAAAACTGTCAGGTAA